GTGGAGAGCTGCGTGTACGTCCCCATCAGGAGGCGGTCCCCACCTCCGCGGCTCTCCCCTTGCGGGGAGCGGCAGCCCCAGGGCCTCAGGGAAGACACCAGGCTGGGCCCCCGCGGCACAGCGGGGCACGTCCCCGGCAGGCGACTTAGCGATGCCTGTGCCAGACTGCTGAGGCCGCCCTGCTGCCGGGTTCCTGGAGGGCTTCCTGGAAGCAGCGTCCACACCAAGCCCTTGGAAGGCCCAGGCGATGGAGGAGCCGGTCAGGCAGGGGCCTAGGACGGTGACGGGCGGGGAGGAGCGTGTCAGGCAGGGGCCGAGGACGGTGACAGGCCGGGCGGGAAGGAGCCGGTCAGGCAGGGGCAGAGGACGGGTGACGGGCCTGGCGGGGGAGGAGCGCGTCAGGCAGGGGCAGAGGAGACGGGCTGGGTAAGGGGTAGGGTGACAGTTAGGGCACAATTCACAATCGCAAAGATGTGGAAGCGACCCGAGTGCCCATCCATCCAGGAGTGCATTAATAACATGTGGCGCGTGGACACCACGGAGTGCTATTCGGCTGTGAGGAGCAGCGGTGAGAGGGCGCCTCTCGTGCTCTCCTGGCCAGAGCTGGAACCTAAGAGTCTAGGAATTTATTCATTTCTTCTAGGTTTTCTAATTTATTGGCATATAGTTGCTCATAGTAGTCTCTAATCATTCTTTGGATTTCTACAGTATTAATTGTAATGTCACCTTTTCCATCTCTGATTTTATGTATTTGGGTCTTTTCTCTTTTTTTCTTAGTCACCCTGGCTAAAGGTATGCCAATTTTGTTTATCTTTTTGAGAAAACCAACTTTTTGTTTCATTGATATTTTATATTTTTTCTTTCATTTCTGCTCTGATCTTTATTATTTCTTTTCTTCTACTAATTTTGAGCTTGTTTTTCTAGTTCTTTGAGCCACATTGTTAGGTTTTTATTTGAAGCCTTTCTACTTTTTTATGTCGGCACTTATTGTGTAAGATACTGGGCTATTAGGCTAGCGGCCATCTTCTAGCTTCTGTTTACTGCTTGCTTGCTGACCGCAGGGCATTATGGATGTATTTTGGGTTGAAATAAGATGCAGAAGAAACGGCACTGAGACAGGAGCCTCTCAAGGGCAGGATGAAGTGAGATGCATGACCGGAGGGAGCCCGCCAATCACTGGAAAAAGCTGATGCATGATCAGCCTGTAAACAGCTTGGGTATAAAGGTTCACTTGCACACGGGGGAGGGGTCCCTGCCCCAACCAGGGGCCACTGTGCTGGCGCTCTCTGGCTTGGACCCTAGCCCAAGCTAGACAATAAAACTCCTTTTGATAATTACAGCCTCCGTGACTCTGTCTCTCTGTCCCGGCCCTGCGGATTCCAGCTCTAACAATTGCTATAAACTTTCCTCTTACTATTGCTTTTGCTGTATCACATAGGTTTTGATATGTTGTGTTTTCATTTTAATTTGAGAAAATTTTTAAATTTCCTTCTTGATCTCTTCATTGATCCACTGGTCATTCTGTAGCATATTGTTTAATTCCCATGTGGTTGCATAATTTTCAAGGTTCCTCTTGTTACTTATTTCTTGTTGTATTCCATTGTCATCAGAGAAAATAGTTAGTATGGTTTTAACATTTTTAATCTTTTAAGACTTGTTTTGTGGGGAAAAGAATGTATAGTTCAATAATTTTCCCAAGGCTATATGGTTAGTAAATGGTAAAGCCAGACTAGGAGTATAAACTTGTAAAACTCCCAATAGTCCATGCACTTTTCCCTATGGCAGGGACAGAAATTAATTCCTCTGACTTGGGACCAGGTATATAGATATCAGCTGTGCAGATGAGGCGAGCGTGACCTCAGTGATATCAATGCTGGTGTGAAAATAAACTAAACTAATCCCAGGGAATGAACAAACCTAGCATCCAAATGGAGAACTAACTTATGAGTCCAGAAACAAGTAACAAAGATAAAAAGCAGGGCTAGAGATTATTCCAGAGCAGTGCTGTCTAGTAGAACTTGTGAGGATGGAAACATTCCCTATCTGCCTTGTGCTATATGATAGTCACTAGGCACCTGTGGCAACTGAGCACTTAAAGCATGGCTGGTATGACTGAGGAACTGAAGTTTTAGATGTATTGAATTTAAATTACTTTAAATTTAAAACCAAATATGGCTAGCAGCTTCCAATTTGGACAGTAAAGGTTTTCTCTTTTTGTTGCTTTTTTCTGGTGCCTACTGGTGCTTGCCCATCTCCTGGGTGCTGGCGTGACATTCTGTTCCCTCACTATGCTGAGGTGTCACTTTACCCCATGATGGCTGTCACCATGGCAGGCTCACAGGCTTACTGGCTTTCTGTTTTAGCAGCTTTACATTTTACCCATTTAAAAAGTGCAATTCAATGGTTTCTAGTACATTTACAGAGTTGCGTAACCATTGCCATAACCCATTATGGAACATTTTTCACACCCAAAAAGAAACCACCATGCTCATTAGCAGTTACTCCCCATTTCTTGCCAACCTCCCCCCACCCCAGGCCTTGGGGGCCACCAATCTACTTTCTGATTTTAATGCATGTGCCTATTCTGGAAATTTCATATAAACAAAAGCATACATTATGTGGTCTTTTGTGACCATCTTCTTTCACTTATGTTTTCAAGGTTCATCCATGTGATAGCATGTAAAGTTCACTTCATTCCTTTTTATGGCTGAATAATATGTCAATGTATGGATATCCATTCATCAACTGTGGTTTCCACTTCTGGGCTATTATGAATAATGAATGCTGCTATGGATACAGGCAGTCCCCGGGTTAGGGATGACCCAACTTACAGCCATTCCACACTTACGAGTGGGCTCTCAAGGCTCCCCATAAGGATAATTTATAATTAAATTAGTTATTTAGGAATTAGTTTCTTCCGCACATGTAAACGAACCCACGTGGTGTAAGCGGTTCCTTGGTGCAGCATCTTTACGTTAGCGGCTTGTCTCATAGGTAGATAGAGAAGCAGCTGATAGAAACATAAGATCACCAACAATCAGAAGATCCAGAGCTGAGAAAGTTCATGACAAAAGGATGATCTGAAGCTTTTCATCTCATTGAAGCAGGATTTGCCAAATTCAAGGAGCAACATCCTAACATTGAATGGTTTGCAAAGGTTTACCATGCTGTTAGTAAGAACATTAGCTGCTACAAGGCCATTTATGATGAAAAAAAGAAAAAGGCTGAGCAGACAACCCCAGATACTTTTTTCAAGAAACCCACTTCAGTGGTCAGCTCCCCTCCTCCACAACAGAATCAAATCCTGCCTCTCCAGCACCACCTCTATGATCATGTTCCGATTCATGTCAGCTCCCTTCTTGCCTCAAAAATGCTCCTTCCAGTAAGCAAGACACTGATGCAACAATAGCTGTGTGATAACCTTTAATATTCTTTTTTGAAATTTCTCCTATTGCCTATCTAACCTTTTTTTTTTCTGGATGTCACTAGACAATTAAATTTTTATTGAAGCTTAATGTGGTACAGAAATACATTTCAATTGATTTAAGTCCAACACCAATGAAAGGAGAAATTATGGCACCAAAACTTTCCCTTATCTATCATACTAAAGATTAATTTAGATTGCTATTCAAACTAGTTCTCATTTTTCTAGGCTGTGTTCTACACAAATGTGCAGGTTTTCAATATTATAATTCTTAAATCTATTAGGAAAAAAATCAGACCTCAAGCCAACAAACGTCATCAACTCTACTGGGATACTGTTCAAGAACAAAATCCACTTTTGAGCATTGGTCCTCAAAACAGAGCACCTCAAAACATTAGGTGCTATGCTCATTACAGAATCAAATTGATCATGTTGACCGAAAACTTCTTCAATGAAACTTTCAATCAACATGCTTAAAATAAGTCAAAAGTGTTCCAGCCACTTGATTTCATACCAAGTTGATTTTGTTTAGAAACACTAAAAAAAGGTGTTTCATTTATAAATACGGAAGGAACAAAACAGCACACTGCATCAATCCAGTAATTATCAAAATATTGTGAGGACAAGAAATACAAAATTTAGTCAACTTTCCTATTGACTCAGTTGCTTAAATCCCACAGTATTTGCAAATACAGCTATAAGATGCCAACTCTTGAAAGCCTGTATTTTAGTTATTTTCCATTGAGTATTTTGGAATTTTGCATGTTATGTTTTACTTATTTATTCACTCATTCATATATTTTGCTTCATGGTGTTTATCTAACCTGGATGATTCTTATTCTGGGCAGTCACTCATTTGATCCTGTGACTTCCATGGTAAAAGACCACAGTCAGAGGAACAGATGAAGTCAGAACACTCACATGCATCACAAAAGTCACAGAACTTGAAGTCACAAGATGGAAAAAGATACTGAATCTGCTTTGAACCAATGTTTACAGTATATTACTTAATGGAAACTCATGGAAATGGCTGATAAAATAAAAGTTAAGGTCAATGATCCAAGCTGACCTGACTCATTCAATCTAGTACAAACTTTATGCTAAACCTTCCTGGTAATCAACTTAGTAATAAGAACCCTTTTATACTACTACTTAGCAAGTTAGTAAAGGCATGGTACTAATTAGAAGCTAATTTCATTTACTGAGGAGCACATATGATTGATACGTAATCAATTACATATGATTTCCAAAGCTCAGCCAGTACACCCTAATCTCCACCTATAATTCTCTATGGGTCTTCCCTGCTAATCAACACTGGAGATATTTATTTTGTTGCTGTCATCCAAAAGAGCCCAAAATTAAACCCAGGGACTATCTCCCTTTCCCCACGAGGGTTATAAGATTTATATATAAGCCCACAGTGATAACAGTGTATTGCTTTATTTGGAGAGTTTGAGGAAAGACACCATGGTAAGAGGAGAAATCAATTATAGGACTACAAATGCATGGACCAATACTTTTAAAATAGTAATACACAAAATAAGTGACTGGAATCATTTTCTTAACAGGACCCGACTTGTGGAAAAAAAACTTTAATTGCTGTTGCAAAAAACATCTGTATGAAGTAGAAATTGGTTCCAATAACATTAGTAAAGAATTAGTTCTAGAAAGTGGAGGTAACTGGATGTAAAAGTCTGGCAGCAGTTTAATAGAACAGTCCCAGATGGTTTGGCTGAGGCCAATACCTAATGAGGACGAAAGCCTTGTCTGTGGGGAATTTTGGATGATACCTGGAGAAATATTACACTGTGCATAAACCAAATTGAATTGTTTTCACAAATGTTGTAAAGTTCCATATAGTAAAAGTTTTTTTCTAAATGCACTTCAATTTCACAGCAAGAGTGGCATAGAATACCTAAACACAGAAGAGAGCATTCATGCAAGATATCTAACTCTTTGATATAATAATGCATACAATTCAAAATGACTACACTATCATTACATCTAGGGCTTTCTGCAACTACAAGGTGGTGGTTATGGAAAGCATGGCCCCCGGTATTAACATCTAGAAAGCAGCCACCACCTTCTATGTGTGTTCTCTTTTTGCATTTTTTCTTCATCTTTCTTAATCAACTCTGCTGTTGTTGCTGCTTCTTAGCAAAACTGGTAAAAACAAAATTGTAATCATTGAACATAGTGCTCTGGCAATCAAGACGTTTAAAGCCTTCAATCTTCTGGGGCGAAGCAAGCACTGTGCGACATTTAGAACTCTGATTAACAAACAAGGTCGTCACAAATTTTCCTGGCTTGAAGACTTCCACAACTTTCCTGATCAGGTCATCATAGGAGGTCTGACTTAAGTTTGTTTCAAAGCTAACATAAGAAAATTCTGGTTCTGGAGTGATGTGAATAGTCCAATAAGTTCCATCCGATTTCATTCCATTCATTGAATACCCACAAGGATTGAACAATGTGGCATCAATGACAGAACCTGGTATTAGGTCACGAATTCCACTCTCACGAGTGACATCCTTTGCAGTAACACCATCTTTCATGTAGAACTGGTCCATAGCTGCTGGGTCAAGCTCACTCATCAGAATTTCCAGGGTCTGATCTGGCTGACTGACTACTCGACTCTCTGGGAAATCCAGAGTATGTAAGTACCAACAGTCAGAATTCATACGTCCCATACAATATGCTGCTCCATTTGGGAAAATTGCATTTAGAAACTCTATTTCTTCCTGGAAATTCCGGTGTGGGTACCCTTGGTGAGAAGGCTTCATGAAATTCTTACGAGAATAAAAGAAGCTTTGAATTGAGTCAAACCCACTGTAATCCCTAGCAAGCTTCAACAGGGGAACCAGTGCTTTCAGCAAGAGGGTGGTACCACATGTCTTCAAAATGAAACGTCTCTTGGAGACAAACATGCTACTCTCACTGAGTACATAAGCTTCCTGCTTGTCAGTTTTTGTCACACTTATGATTGAACATTGCACATCCTTGAAAAGTATGTCCCACCCAGATCTCGGGATAGTGCGAAGATCCCCAGATCCTTGGTTCGCGTCAGGTTGCTGCCGGGAGAACCGAACCTCCAGCAGCTTCTCCGTCCCTTCGAAAAAATGTGCAGCTTCCATCACCGTGAGACTAGCGAACAACCAACAACCACAGAAAATCAACTTAATTAAACCTCTTCTCCCGCCGCCGCTGCAGATTGTTCCAGCTGTTACTAAAGTTCGGGTTCCTTTTTTTTTTTTTGCCATAATTTTATATTAACTTTTTTTAAAAAAAGGACTAATACAATTTTCCCGGCTTCTTTTTGTGAGCGAAAGTTGAACGTGAGTCTGTTGGAAATAGAGGCAGATACAGTCTCCTGTAGGCCGCTGGTTCCCCGTCAGAGAGAGTAGAGCGAGCGCTGGCTGCTGTCGCCGGCCATCCTGTGTAAGCCTATCTAACCTTTTTGTATGAATTTGTTTTTATGTTCTTGTTTGAACTAAAAGAAAGAGCATAATAGTTTCTTTTTTTTTTATTAAACAGCAGTGTGTATTAAACCATTTCATTGGAAACTGGTTAAAGATTAAGGCACTCCAAACCTCGTGGTTTTCCATGAGGTTACAATTCTGTGGCTGCTCTTAGTGCTAAACCAGAGGACAGCACACGGACTGGACCAGCCGCAGACGCCCCACGCGGGTGTCCACGCTGCACGAAAGGACTAAATGCGCTAAATTTAACAACTGGCAGCTCTGCTTTCAGCTCAGCAACCTACATTCAGGAAACTGATTTTATATACATACTGCTGTGTTAACACAAAGTACACTAAGTCTATTGGAAAGTTTCTTTTATGAATAAACAGTCAAATGTTGATGGCTGCTATAAAACACTTAGGAAATCTTTGTAATACTTTATTATTATACTACGAAGGTATTATTATTACGTATTACACTATACTATCCCCTGTGAACCATTGTGGCGGTGTTATTATTAATACCGTACGTGCGCTGTCGCCCCGGGATCTGAGTAACACAAATCCGACGTTCTCAGGACCCGTCTGGTCCGTGTCTGCGAACCGCCCGGGTGTACGTTAGTCAGAGATGGATTTATGGTTTCTTTAAAAACTTGGACGCGCCGCACGCGGGGGAGGGAGGAGGGCGACTCCCGGCCGCCGCCTCAGCCGGCGCGCCGCCCGCACCGCGCCCTCCGCCGGGGAGAAGGCAGGTTCCCGCCGCAACGGTTATTAAAATTCAGCGGTGAAGGCAAAAGAAGTTACAGCCTCTCATAACGTCCTTTTCTTTATTTTTCTCGTGTGTGTGGAGAGAGAGTCTTAGGCTGGCTATATTTTCCCTGAAATCTCTTTTAAGATGGTTTTTGAGATGTAGCGTCCCCCACGTTGGAATGGTTTCCTCCGGCATCCGGCCGCGCGGCTGGAACCATTCAGCGCTTCCCGACGGGGGCGGCCGGACGGCGCGGGCAGCGGCCGCCGTTCCCGCCAGACCTCGCCGCTCCGGACCGAGCTGCGTCCCGGCTGTGCGGCTCGGCGGCCCCTCCGGCCTCAGTCCGGGCGCCCGCGCGCCCCCGCGGGCCGCGTTGGTACGGCCCGGCCTAGTCACGAGCCTCGGCCCAGCCTGGCGGCCGCGCCGCAGAAACGCAGGTGAGTTTGCAGGCGCCGGCTCGGCCGCCTCCCCACAGCCAGGGCCGCGCCGCTGTCCCCGCTGCGGGCTCGGACCCCGACCCCGACCCCTCCCCGCGGCCGCGGCGACGACCCGCCGGCAGCAGTCTGGAGGGCGGGCTGGGACCGGGTTCCGGGCTCCGCGCCGGGTCGGAGCCGGTTCCGGGCAGGGCGGAGGCCGGGCGGCGGGGCAGGAGGGCGGGAGCGGTGTGGCCCGAGGGGCTGGCGGAGGGGCGCAGCGTGGTAGCGTTGGTCTGGGGGAGGCGGTTAGGGTCGGAGTGGAAGACGAGGCCGAAACCCTGAGGTTTGGAGGGAGGGTGAGAGGCACATCTGTAAACTCTACAGGGATGAGGACTGTGTCCTGTGTTCGAACCCCGCGTCAGGATCGTTGATTTATTCCCATTTAACGCTGCCTTGAGACTGGGCTCTTTGCCTGTCCCGCCCGTGTTCTGCCGACCTTCCGTCGTGCCTTCGCGCCCAGCAGACGCTCGGAGGAGGGCCCGCTGGTGAGCTAAGAGGTGCAGCTCTGTGCCCTCCAGGGAGGGTAGGCGACCGTGCTGCTTCTCTCCAGTTTGGCTGGTGTTGTCAGTCGCATCCTTATCATCTGGAAACAATGTTTAGCCCAGGAATTGGCTTGTGAGTTGAGGTTCAAGGAGGTCACCAGCAACTGTGGGAGACAGAGGATGAGGAGGAACTTGCTGGAAATAGGTACTGCTGGAGGCACCGGACATTACTTTGAAAGTAATTGAGTAACATTAGCAGGTGACACTGTGTTGGCTCTTCTAGTGTCACGTGTCAGGGAGCTCTGTAAATGGAAGTGCAGGTGGAGGGTAGAGAAAGAAGAGCCACAGTGTGAGTGAGCCTGAGCCGGAGGTCCCTGCGGACTTTTCACCTTTGCACTTACTGAGATCCCAGCTGAGGACTTAATGAGGCTCCCCAGTGGGAGACTAGTTATATAAACTCCATAGCAACTACTAGTTAAGATCCATTCTAATACCTTATTTATTTACACAGTGCTCTTATTTAGCGCCCTCTTGGGTCTTCCTTGTGGCTATGAGAAGACCATAGAGAGTGAAGTAGACCCAGGGTGAGGGTACACCACTGAGCAGAAGGGAGTGCAGATGTCACTGCCAGGTCTGTGGCTCAGCCAGTGTGAGAGAGGGATGTGGACCACATTCTGGCTCAGCAAGGAATTTAAATACTTGCTTTGAGTATGATGATGAAAAGACTGTTAGGCAGGGGGAGATTTCTGCTTCTTCCTTGGTTCTAGAAAGCTTGTTGGAAAGGAAGAATTGTGAGACACACACCAGTTTGCTTTCTTCAGCAAACTTCTGGTAGAGATTGGAATTGGAGAGTGAACGAAGAACTGAGCTCATGCCGCCCAGAGCTGTGATCCCACATGCAGTGGTTGGCCTCATCTCTAGGGTGGTATTCAGAGAGGTGAGGTGACACATTTGGCATCACCTGGTTGGTGAGGACTAGGTCTGTGTGACTCCAGACTTAAGTGCTTTCCAGTGGCTGGGTCTGTGGCACACATAGAATTTCGTCAGACTGTCAACAGAAAAAAGCCAAACTCTGTAAAATAATTTTAAAGAGATTTATTCTGAGCCAAATTTGAGGACCATGACCCGGAGCCACTGCCAAGAGGCCTTGAGCTGGTGGACTTGATGTGGTTAGGTTACAGTTTGGTTTTATACATTTTAGTGAGACACTTACAGGTAAAGTCATAAATCAATACGTGGGAGGCATATATTGGTTTGGCCCAAAAAGGGCCATCTGGGGGTGGTGCTTACTGGGTTTAAAGATTCTTTGGCTTATAATTGTTAAAGACATGAAGCTTTGTCTAAAGGCTTGGAATGTTTCAACATAAGGAGCTGTTATCAGAGATAAGCCACCTGACATAGATTTGTTATGTAAATTGAAGACCTGCAGGTCTGTCTTACATACCCTTAGGCCTGTTAATGGGTTACAAAAGATATCTCCAAGAAGGGAGGGAGGCATGATAAGGCGTGTCTGACCTCCTTCCTCTTGGCAGACAGTTTAGTTTTAGGATATTCCTTTGGCTATGAGGGGGTCCATTTAGTGAGCCCGTGGTGGGGAAGGTGAGCCTTAAGATTTTATTTTAGTTTATAAGACAAATGCTTTTCATTTAAAAAAATAATAAATAATAGTCTGTGTTGATCCTGGGTTCATGGGTGCTGGGAATAAGCTTAGCAACATTGTCTCTGATTTCCCCCTCCCATTTGAGGAAGAAAGGGGAGAAACTTCTAGACCTGAAGCCTCAAGGGTTAAATCAGCATGATGTGTGTGCTGCCAAAGTAGCCCCCTCATAACCAAAAGTAGGAATGAACAGGACTTCATATTTTTTAATATTTTATACTTTCAAAAGATATTTAAATAATATATTTATAATTAAAGAGATCCTTTATGAGATACTGCTTTCGAGGTGTAAAACTTCAGCTGCAGTGTCAACTTGCTGTCAGCTAGTATCCAAAAGGCATGCTAAACCATTCGGAACCCCAGGGACTCAAAATCCTCATCTGAGATTTGATGGTGAGGATTTGAGGTTGGCTGTAAGCTACTTGAAAAAAAATTGTTTTCATGCTATAAAGACCACTGCTCTTAGAATCAGCTCTGGTTTTTTTCCTTACCCAGAAAACATCAGGTTTTCATGAATGACTGCTGTCACTACACCTGACCCATTTGGCAGACACCTTGCCTGGTCAAGGCAGGATGGTGGAAGTGTGATTCTGCTGAGAATAAGGTTGGTGTCAGTGGTCTTCAGATAGGGTGAAATTTAGCCAAGGAGTGCTATCATGTGGCTATCTTGCTAGAAGGAACCTTATTTCTCTTCTATTTATGCCTTTCAAAGGAAGACTTGGCCTTCTTTTCTGGGATTAATGTCTCAGCATTTACTTCAGGTCCTGATACCCTTTCTTCCTCCTCTACCTCTTTGTCCCATCAGTGGTCTCCTTGTCTCCTTGCACAATGGATTTTTTTTTTTTTTTTTTTGAGAGTCTCACTCTGTTGCCCCGGCTAGAGTGCCATGGTGTCAGCCTAGCTCACAGCAACCTCAAACTCCTGGCCTCAAGCAATCCTCCTGCCTTAGCCTCCCGAGTAGCTGGGACCACAGGCATGCACCACCATGCCGAGCTAATTTTTTCTATTTTTGGTAGAGACTAGGTCTTGCTCTTGCTCAGGCTGGTCTCGAACTCCTGAGCTCAGATGATCCGCCTGCCTTGGCCTCCCAGAGTGCTAGGATTACAGGTGTGAGCCACTGCGCTTAGCCCATTTCATTGTGTGTATGTACCACAATTTCTTTATCAATTTATCTGTTGATGGACACTTAGGTTGATTCCAAATCTTGGCTATTGTGAATAGTGCTACAATAAACATAGGAGTGCAGATAGCGTTTTGATATACTGAAATCCCTTCCTTTGGGTATGTGTGTGTATGTGTGTGTATATATATATATACACACACACACACACACACATACACATACATAAAAAGGAATTTTAAACTATCGTTTTCCTTAACTTCACCATGGTACGTTTCATGACCCCTTCATTTAACTCCAGCCCATTTGGTTTCTCTGCAACTGGACTCTATCTGTCCTTTCCCAAAGATGTGCTTATGAACCTCTCTCATCTGTGTGGACACCTACACCTTCTGTGGCAACAGCTGTCATCTCTTTGGGCAACTCCTAAATGTACTTATTAACACATGAATTTGGTACCTCCTATGAACTGTTGCAGACGCTGAGGATACAGCAGTTAACGAGACAATGTCTCCAGCTTTAGGAAACTTTCATTCATAGTGGGGAAGTACAAACAATGTAGGTTCTAGTATGAGGAGCACTTGCACTCAAATAAAGCAGAGGAAGAGGGTGATGGGGTTGCAGGGAAGTGGCTGTTCTGAGCAGGGGAGATGCCGGTGGAAGCCGAACAGTGGCGAGGAGTGAGCCAGGTGGAGGTCTGCAGCGTGTTCTGGGCCTTTACCCCCACCCTGCCCTCTCTCATACTGCACCTGGAATTTCTATGGAGCCCTCGAGGCTTCCAGCGAAATGTCCTGCTGTCTCTTAAGTTTTATACATCTCCTTTCTTGCCACCACCTCCCTGCCAGAACACCCCTGCCGACACTAGCCCTCCATGCCCTGCCAGCTCTTGTGTCTCCTTCTCTGATACCCAGCCCTGGCTCTGCAGCAGTCCTGCTGACATTCTCTTCACATGTCTGTTTTGTGTCTGCCTCTGACAATTCCAGTGTGACCGCTCGAGCTCCACCCTACCTTAGGCAGGAGGACAGGTGCCGTGCAGCCGAGAAACCAATCACAGAAACATCAGGCAGGTCACAGTGTTAGTGACCAGGCTGGAGCAGCAGGCTCCAGGCACAGCCCCTGGCAGGGGCCTGCTGGGAGGGCCCAGCTAGGGACACACCCCAGGCACGGCTGGACAAGGAGGCTATCCCCCACTGCTGTGCGAGTTCACACTTTGCTGCTGCTTTACCTTCCTCCTGGATGTGGTGTCTTAGACCATCTCACTGGCCCACTATGGTCATCACACCCTTCCTGCCAGGGCTGAGGACGGAGGACGTCTAGCCCTTTGCTCCATATTGGGGGAGAAGGTCCCCAAAAGAGATTAGGGTCCTGGCCAGTGTCTGCTGCTTGGTTGAACATTCAGAAATTTAAAGGGTTCCTTGTGGTGTGGAGCTAGGCTGTCCAACGGAGCTTTCTGGGAGGACAGAAATGTTCCCTAACCTGCACTGTTCAGAGCAGTGGGCACGAGCCACATGCAGTTGGGACGTAGCCAATGAGAAAGAAGGGCTGAGCTTTTGTCTTAGTTAATTTAAATTCAGTTGCCACACATGCCTGTGGCCACCGTGTTGGACAACATGGGTCTGGAGAGTTGCACGGTCATTCTAGCCTAACATTCCAGACCTTCCTCCAGCTGGCTGCGTCGCCTCCTTTGTCACAAGACAGGCTGCTGGCTGCAGCTGTCCCTGCCGCTATGCCTTTGTTCCTGTGGTCTTGTTTCTAGAGCATCTCTCTGCTTGTCAGAAACAGTGGACAAGCTGCCATCTTCAGAGCCTTCCCTGATTATCCCCAGAGAGAGGCCCCTGTATCTGCCTTCCCTCCTGTTGTGAAGGGCGAAGTCCGTCACTGCTCACACAGCTCGTGCACTAAGGCCGTGTGGCCTTCACACCATCCATCAGATTCTGCTGTGCTGCAGCCAGGCTTGGGGGTAGGTGGCCCTTGACTCCACGTCCCTGCCAGGTGCTGCCCTGTTCTTGTCACTGCCACAGAAACTCTCAAAGGGTTGTCTGTATTCACTCCCTCAAGATTTTTCTCCACCAGAGATGATTCTTGTTAAGGTCACTGGTGACCTCCATGTTGCTCTGCAGGTGACCATACCCTCCTTGTTTTTTGAATTGTGATAAAATATATATAACATACTATTTTAACCATCATTAAGCGCACAGTGCAGTGTCAGTAAGCACAGACTCTCATGCTGCTGTCAGCACTGTCCGTCTCCAGGACCCTTTGTCTTGCAGAGCTGAAACTGTGCCCATTAAACACCAGTTCCCCGCTCTCCCTCCCCAGTCACAGCAGCCACCACTCTCCTTTCTGTCTCTCTGGATTTGACTGCTCTAGTTACCGTGCATGAGTGGAATCATACAGTAGTGGTCATTTTATGACTAGCATAATGTCCTCAGGTTCCAGCCATGCTATCACATGTGGCAGGATTTCCTTCCTTTTGAAGGCTGTGTGACATTCCATTTCCACCTTGTTAAAGCACTCCATTCACCTGGTTGCTGGGTGACCTGGAGCTCCCGTTCTGACTCCCTGGCCATGCTTGTCAGTTGGGCCAGCTCCTGCTTCCTTTTCCACACCTTGAGGTCCCTGAAAGTCCCACGGTGGGACGCAGAGGCTCAGCAAGCACTCGCTGGTCCTCCTCCCGTGCCTGCTTCCTGCATTCTTTCCGGCCCCTTCATGCCCTGCACCTGCATCACAGTCTTGCCACCCTTCCTTGGGAACATGGCACTGTCCCTGTCACTTGGATCCGTGGGATGCCTCAGCTGGTTCTCACCTAACACTGGCCACTTGCAGTGTTTTCTGCGTGAATGAACACTTTGAAATGAAATTCAAATCTCATGTCTCTCATCTGAACTCACCAAAGCCTCTCCAGTCTCTGAAAAAATCTTTCCATGGCCTGGAAGGGGCTGTGAGATTTGCTTCCTGCACCGTGCCCTGTCTCCTGCTCTTCTCCAGACGCTCTGACCATCCCCCAGTGGCAGCACTGGTCCCTTCAGCTCTTGCTGGGGGCCAGTCCCTCCAGGTCTACCCCCTCTTGTAGGTGTTCTCTACTGTGACGCTCTCGCCTGGTGGGAAGGAACAAGTCTTCCTTGTGTCCGCCCACTAGGAGCCCAGCTGCACAAGGGCAGCACCTGCAGCCTCAGCCGGCAGCAAACGTGTGCCAGCTGAGGGAACCTCTCCTCAGAACCCCATGGCCTTTTATTTGTGTTGCTCCAACGGGGCATGCCATGTTTTGCTGTTTTGTCACTCAAAGACATGTCCTCTCTACACCATCAGCCTCAAGCCCTAGCACAGTTGCACCCACAGGTTTTCTGTTTGCCCATTCATTCACATTCTCCCTCCTCTGTGTGCTGTGACCCCTGTGCACAGGGACCCTGTCTGTCTGTCCTCCTCGCAGCTCCCCTGTGCCCAGTGCAGCACTGACGCAGAGCAGCTGCCCCACAGTGCTGGCTGGGGCAGGCGGGGAGTCCGCCAACACCCACGTGCTCCCTGCGCCCCAGAGGTGCCAGGAGGTTTCACTGCGTGAGCAGGTGCTGGCCAACTGACACGTCCCCCGCAATCCCCAGGCTTCTTGCAGTCTCTGAGGCACCATGAATGCCATTGTTGCTCTCTGTCACTTCTGCGAGCTCCATGGCCCTCGTACTCTCTTCTGCACGGAGGTGCTCCATGCCCCACTTCCCCAAGGGGCTGAGGACAGGGACAGCCCTCACCAGGGCCAGCAGGCCGAGGAGGAGGAAGGCGGCATTCAGATGAGCAGCCGGATCCGCGCACACAGCCCGGCGGAAGGGGCCAGCACCGAGTCCAGCAGCCCTGGGCCCAAAAAGTCAGACATGTGTGAGGCAAGTGTCTCTGGGGTCTCAGGAACATTTTGCTCTCTTTGTGGGAAGTGTGGGCTGGACAGGAGACCCTGCGGTCCCAAGAGCTGGGGGTGAGGGCTTCAGGGCTGACACAGATGGCTTCTCAGGGAGCCCAGTAGCTGGCATGCACTTCTCTGTGCCTCCCTGCTGTGGCATTCACCTTTGTGTTCATGCACTCCAGCCTGTCATGGGCAGGGGTTCCCAAGGCCCGGTGCTCCAAGCGGAGTTTCCTCCTTGTAGATCCCCAGGGTTCCAGGTTGAGCTCTGGGAAATTAGTTTAAATTTCTCCTAATGGGCCACATCTTTGCATGGAGAATTTGGGTTGGGACCCCAAATCAGGGCTGGGTATCGGACCTACCACTAGGTGCAAACAAACCAACCTAGTTCATTTGGTTCCCCTGAGAAGCAGACGACAGGTGAGAGGTTTATCTGTTGCTGGAAAGGCCTGCAGGAGGTGCAGGGACAGACGGTGGGGAGTGCCTCAGACCTGGGAGGCCAGAACTGGAGGGAAGGAGGGCTCAGCCAGGCAGCAGGAGAGTCCTTGAGTCAGGATTGGGGTTGTCCTTGAAGGAGTCCTCTGGCCTGGGGAGGGGCCTGCTCTAGTGCCCTCCTGAGGCCTCAGCAGCTATTCGTTCTGAACCAAGGATAGAGGGGTGGCGGGGTGGATGAATCACCCATAAAAGTGGCTCAGAGCAGTGTGTGCCCTGGAGCCAGCTACTTCCTGTCTCAGCCTCAGTTTGTCTTCTGTGAAATGAGGGTTCTCACTGTAATTCTCTCACAGGCTGAGAATTCTTGAATAGAATGAGAGAAACTACACAGAACTCTTGCTATAGTACCTGCTGTGTGAGTGCTCAGCGGGTAAGATCTGTCAGGACTACCCTCTGGCAACCTTGGCATTTCTGTGTCCTGGTTTTCCTATTGAGGAAGCATTTAAGTCCTTAGATAAGTACAAACCTAAAAGCCAGTTATTTTTATACAAAAATAGATTGTATTTTTTAAGTCCAGGTTTTTGTAAGTGTAAGACAGTTTGTTACCTGCTTCCCAACTAACAGATTTTCTTTTCTTTTTGGTGGGCAGGGCTGCCGGTCACTGTCTGCAGGACACCCAGGGTACATCAGCCACGATAAGGAGACCTCGATCAAGTACGTCAGTCACCAGCACCCCAACCACCCGCAGCTGTTCAGCATTGTCCGCCAGGCCTGCGTCCGGAGCCTGAGCTGTGAGGTGAGCCGCGTGTGGCTGCGGCGTCTCAGTGGGAGCACGTGTGCTCCGAGTGGCCTGAGAACGCGGGCACTGGCTTGGAGAGGGAGGCTAGCACGCGTCCTCACAGAGAGGCCCACGCGCGGTGCGGCGTGGGGAGAGAAGCTTCACGTCTCCAGAACTTGCAGAGTAAATCATTCTGGACTCACTGGTTTCTGAGTGGGCGCTAGCTTTTCACTTTAAGCACCAAACCTTTATTATTTGTCCATTCGTAATGGACATATTTCTGACATAGGAATTATTTCTAAGGTGCCATAGTTCACTGCATCAATTGCCACCTTTTCTATTGCGTCAGTCCTCATTCCCAGCCTCACTGATCGCCATGTACTGCTCTCGGAACCTGAGAAATAGATCAGTTTGTTCCCAAACTACAAGGTGGTCACTGCTGACCTTGGGTCTTAACTCTTAGGTTTTTGTCTGTCATGGAGAATACATGGTTTGGTTACTGAACTTCCTGCCCTGGCCCCTCACTGTCGGTTCTCACTTAACTGTTGCCATGTGCCTGCCTCCAGCCGGTTTCATTTCCTGCTGCTGGTCTGCTAGCAAGCAGATGGGCATGTCTGTTAGCATTGTGTGTTAAGTAAGAGTTAATATGTCACAAGGGAGGGACTGAAGTTCTCTTGTGAAAATAAAGTGTGCAGATTTTATTCTACAAAGTATGCAGTGACTATTTTGACCTGCCTGTTCTTCATCGTATTCCAGATGAGCAAGGTGGCACATTTGTGGCTCAAGCTAGAAAAAGCAGCAAACCTCTGTTGGCCCTGGCATTCCACCATGACAAACGTTGTCTTTAGAAAGCTTGACCACAGGAGCAGAAGAGTGCAGAGTCTCCTGCTTTCACCCTCCCTTGCCACTGTCCCTGTAATCAGTGCTGGCTGAATCATGCCAAAGGAAAAGCCAGATGATGAGGCTTCGACCTGGTGTTGCTGAAGGGAGGAGAGGGCTGTCTCAAATCGCTGTTGTTCCTTCCAGGTCTGCCCTGGCCGTGAGGGGCCCATCTTCTTTGGTGACGAACAGCATGGCTTTGTGTTCAGCCACACCTTCTTCATCAAAGACAGCCTGGCCAGGGGCTTCCAGCGCTGGTACAGCATCATCACCATCATGATGGACCGGATCTACCTCATCAACTCCTGGCCCTTCCTACTGGGGAAGGTCCGGGGCATCATCGATGAGCTCCAGGCCAAGGCGCTCAAGGTGCCGTCTGAGCACAGGGCACCAGGGTGGGGGCCCTCGCACTGTAGGAGTCTTTTTCTGCACCAAGGGTGGGTACAGGAGCCCAGGCAGCTTTCTTGCTCTTAGCCTGAGGCTGCTGTGTCACCTTCATTCAGAGTCGGGGTCGTCTGCTGTACTAGTCTCTCCTGCCTCTATTGTCCTGGTTCTCATTCAGCTCTGGTTTCTCGGCTGGAGTCAGAACCCTTGTTCCTCCCTTTGCTTCCTCTGACCTTCATCTCAGACTGTCCATTAATGCTGTCTAGACCAGCCACCTAACCCAGACCTCCAGCTGTGGCATTGTGTCTCAGGACAAGCCAGGTCATGCTCTGGTACCTGCTGATGAGAGGCTGAGCCCCTTACTGTCACTTCTCACTTAATTATTGCCACGTGCCTGCCTCCAGCCTGTCTCATCTCAGCAGCCTCATACCACAGGGACCGTTCCGTGCTCTTGCTCCGTGCGCGTTGCAGCAGAGCAGGCCACCTGCTCGTCGTCGTCGTCACCCTCATGGGCAGAGCAGCAGCTGTATTGGAATGTTGTCCCTTCAGCCCGATAGAAGGCAGGGTGTGCCAGAGGGCCTTATTTCTCTCTCACTTCCTTGGCAAGAGCTAGTCACATGTCCCTCATGTGACTTGTCCCTCAGACCCCTCAAGGGTCTGAGTAGTGGGCCTAGAAGGGGGAGGCCTAGAAACATGGCGCTGATGGCCACCTCCGCAGGCCTACAGCCTATGTCTCCCTCGAGCACCTAAGGAGTCACCGTAGGAGAGGGGACAGGAGATAGTCTTAACTGATTCTTATTCTCAGGTGACTCCTAATCTAGCTGGGGAGGCAAAGCCACACTGTTTAGAATTATTAGACTGCTGGCACTTTCTGTGTTCTGCGTCACAAGAGCAGAGCAGGACAGAGCCCTTGGAAGTCAGATTTGTGAAATTTGCTGTGAACAAGCTGGGTCTGGGCTGCCAGCAGGTCCGACTTGGTTGAGGAGGCTGCCCCTTCCCTTTGCATTTCAGGTGTTCGAGGCAGAGCAGTTCGGGTGCCCCCAGCGTGCTCAGAGGATGAACACAGCCTTCACGCCATTCCTACACCAGAGGAACGGCAACGCTGCCCGCTCACTGACGTCACTCACCAGCGATGACAACTTGTGGGCATGCCTTCACACCTCCTTTGCTTGGTAACGGCGTCCCAGGGCTTTTAGCAGGCGTTAGAATAAGAGCAGTCGTGACACATCGGTGAGACTGCCCACAAATTTGGGAGGACAGTCCTTGTGCAGATCTGCTCAGCTGCCTCTGCATGGAACTCTGCCGTGTGCTCATTGGAGAGCCCCTGTTCTCGGGGCCTCTCACTCCTCATGTGTGGAAAGCATACAGAGCTGGAACTCGCTTCCCAATGTATTAAAAACAGAAGAAGTTTTTGTACCAAGACCAGTGATTTCCTCCCTTTTTTAAAAGCAATAGTAAAGGCCGGGTGCGGTGGCTCACGCCTGTAATCCTAGCACTCTGGGAGGCCAAGGCAGGTGGATCGCTCAAGGTCAGGAGTTCGAAACCAGCCTGAGCAAGAGTGAGACCCTGTCTCTACCATAAATAGAAAGAAATTAATTGGTCAACTAAAAATATATATATATAGAAAAATTAGCTGGACATGGTGGCTCATACCTGTAGTCCTAGCTACTCAGGAGGCTGAGGCAGAAAGATCGCTTGAGCCCAGGAGTTTAAGATTGCTGTGAGCTAGGCTGACGCCATGGCATTCTAGCCCGGGCAACACAGTGAGATTCTGTCTCAATAAATAAATAGTAAACATTCATCTCAGTTTCCAAGTGTCTTACCAGAGTGGTTTCCAAGCGTCTTAGCAGAATGGCTCTGGCTAAGGATCTGAGAGTTTTTTTCTACAGAGGCTCAGCCAGCTGAGGTTTGACTGGAGGGCTGCTTGCAAAGCAGCTCCTTCCACGGCTGGCTGTGGGCCTGCAAAATGGCTTCCACAGAGTGAGCCAAGAGAATGAAGTAGGGCCAGCCTTGGTGGCTCACACCTGTAATCCCAACACTTTGGGAGGCTGAGGTGGGAGTATTGCTTGAGGCCAGGAGTTCAAGACCAGCCTGGGCAATAATGAGACCCTATCTCTACAAAAAATAAAAATGGGTGTGGTGGGGCACACCTGTAGTCTCGGCTGCTCGGGGCTGAGGCAAGAAGATCATTTGAGCCTAGAAGTTGAAGGTTGTAGTGAGTTCTGATAATGGCATTGCACTTGAGCTGGGGCAACAGAGCTGTCTCAAAAAAGAATAAAAGAGAGAGAGAGAAAATGAGGTGAAACCTGCAAGGTCTCATGGCCTGAGCTCAGCAGATACATGCTGCCACTTCCGGCACTCCCTGTTGCTAGAAGTGTGCCATGTCACTAGGCCCAGCCCAGTCAGGGAGGGTTAGCCTCTATCATGAGAAGAGAGGAAGGAGTTTAGTGAATCTGTGAACATACTTGGAAACCATCAGTCTGCCCTTTGGCCACAAGTTGTTTCTGTTCCTCCCATTGGAGAATATATTTACTTCTTCCAAAGTGTCTGCCCCAAAATTCTCATTCCTATGTAACCTCTGCTTGAAATCTAGGATCTCATGTTAAATCCAGGCCTGGGCCACTATAATCCCAGCACTTTGGGAGACCAAGGCAGGAAGATCACTTGAGCCCAGGTGTTCCAGACCAGCCTTGGCAATATAGTGAGATTGTGTCTCTAAAAAAAAAAATCTTTTAATTAACTGTGCATGGTGGTACGTGCCTCTAGTCCCAGCTACTTGGAAGGCTAAGACAGGAGGATTGTTTAGCCCAGGAGTTCGAGGCTGCATTGAACTTTGATGATGCACCACTACGCTCCAGTCTAAAGTAAAAAAAACTCTTTCATTGGGACCAGAGCAGCATCCCAATCTCTCTGGTCTGTAATGTTCCTCCTGTCCCACTCCACCCCCACTTGTCCCACCCACTTTTCATTGAAGACCCTTGGTCATTTGGCTTGCAGAATTACCTCTATTCAGGATCTTGCTGGTTGTGGCATCGTGGTGTTCAGCATGTTCTTTTTTTTTTTTTTTTTTTTTTGAGACAGAGTCTCACTTTGTTGCCCAGGCTAGAGTGAGTGCCATGGCGTCAGCCTAGCTCACAGCAACCTCAAACTCCTGGGCTCGAGTGATCCTTCTGCCTCAGCCTCCCGGGTAGCTGGGACTACAGGCATGCGCCACCATGCCCGGCTAATTTTTTATATATATATCAGTTGGCCAATTAATTTCTTTGTATTTATAGTAGAGACGGGGTCTCACTCTTGCTCAGCATGTTCTTTTATACCTTGTCTTCTGCAAACTGGTAGCTAGATCAAGACGCTGGGTGAACATCAGGTTTGGTTTTTCCTTTGGCAAGAAGGCTCATATCTGGCACTGCATTCTCTAGGCTCCTGAAAGCATGTGGCAGCCGACTGACCGAGAAGCTCTTGGAGGGTGCACCGACCGAAGACACCTTGGTCCAGATGGAGAAGCTCGCTGGTGAGGCTGGGGTACTGCTGCTGGGGGACTTGGTCCATGGTGGCCGTCGGGGGCCCCTCCAACTCTGCTGTCCTGGTAGGGAAACATGGCTCTGAATGAGTCCAGGATGAGCCAGTGTGACAGCCTGCCATTGGTCTTGGGTATATTTGTGATTTCCCATCTCATTTGCCTTGACAGTCACGTGAAAGAATCTGTTCCCCAGCTAGGTTGGGAAAATCTGCTATTGGATTGTCTATGGAGAGAACTGGCTGATTGAAGGTATCCATTTTATGATGATGGCCACATGCTTGTGGCTGTGTAGGTCATCTCTTAGTCTTTGTCACTTTACAGATGAAGCACCCTGTTTCAGTTGGACCTAGGCTTTCCATTAAGGGCAGTGGTTTCCCAACCTCCCAGGTATCTGGGCCTCCCCAGGTTTTTGATCAGAATCTCTGTGTCTCAGGCTAAGGGCCCTGTTGTGTTCAGCTGACTTCCCAGGGATCCCTGGTCTCTATCCTGCTGAGCTTCTGCCAGAGTGGATTTGATTTTTGGTGCTCCAGGTCCACGGTCCCAGCCATGGGGTGGGCACACAGACTCTTGACGCGTGTTGTCTGCAGCTTGTCATTTCCCGGGCTTCAGTTTGCAGATGCCTGGCCTTCTGGACACTCAGGTTTGTCTCAAGGGCGCTCCTGCAGGCAAGCACTTGACTCTCACTTGTGCTCAAATAAGCTTTCCTGAGCAGGGTCTTGGCAGCAGCAGGGCATGCTCTGGAAAGAGAAGCCCTGCAGTCTGCCCTCATGCACCCAGTGGCCCGAGAACTTTTACTTTTACTGCTGTGCTTGTATGGATGGCAGGGGCAGTGTCAAGGTCAGATTGCCTCACACAGAGCCAGGTCTGTTAAAGCCTTCATGAGCTGGAACGCAGCATGTGGGATGCAGTGTCCAATTTTGATCTGCAGCGTGGCCACGGAGGAGCTGGCATCAAGGCTCAGGGCACAGCCCTTGGAGTCAGACAGACCTGGCTTCAAGTCCTGGCTCTTCTCCTCACGTGTGCCCTGCCCTGTGGGTCTCATGACACGAAATGAAGATGTGGTCGTTTGTGAGGGCTGCCACAAAGGTTTGTGGAAGTGACACTTCATCTGTGAAATGGGCATATGTCAGGATGGTGGAGAGGACTAAATGAAAGGACACGTGGATCCCTGAGAGCAGCACCTAACAGGGTGTGCTCAGTAGACTGCCCGACATGTTCATCATTGGTTTGAGTTTTCTCACCAACAGTGAACAGCTTGTGGTCCTTGCATAAGTGCTTCTGAGACTTGCTGTGATGTTCTGAGTTCAGCAGACAGCAGCTGAGCCCTCTGTGCCCTCCCCCCGGGCTCCCAGGGCAACAGGGAGCATGAACAGCTGGCCACGGCCTGGAATCAGTACCGGTTGGCCTCAGGCTGAAGTCGCACAGAGACTGTTGCATCCAAAGGGCAGCACATTCTGTAACTGTCCATGTCACCTGTCTTGCAGACTTAGAAGAGGAATCAGAAAGCTGGGACAACTCTGAGGCTGAAGAAGAGGAAAAAGCCCCTGTGTTGCCAGAGGGTGCAGAAGGACGGGAGCTGAGCCAGTGCCCGGCAGGGTCCTCCTCACTGTCAGGCCGTGGGGGCTGGCAGCCCCGAAAGCCACCAGTCTTCAAGTCCCTTCGGCACATGCGGCAGGTAGGCAGCAGAGGGCAGCCACATCAGCGACTTGGAGAAGAATCCAGTGTTCTCCATCCAGCACACTTTGTGGGCCTGTTATCTTCAAAATGCAGCAGGGAGTGACTAAGAACCTTCTTGGTGGGTGGCTGCAGACATAGGATGTTGGGGAGTATTGGCCACAGGATGAGTGCTCCCCTTTTAGTGATAGGTGTCTTTGAAGAAAGGTCCAGATGGTCAGCGTCCCGTGGTCCTCTAACCTTCTAGAAGGGATTAAACGACCCTAAAGGGATTAAACGACCCTACTGTCAGTTTGCGTGTAGTCTCTACTCTTTGCAGATTGAAAGCGATGGTCATTCTTACAAAAAATTAGGAATAACCTACATGTCCAACTGTGGTAGTTACAGTATATCCAAACAATGGGATGTATTGTAGAAGAAATGGAGCATACAGTATGTCCAGGGCGACATGTGGGGTGTGTGTGTATGGGTATATGTGTGTATGCTGAAGACAAAACAAAATCTAACCCACAACAGTATTGACCTTGGTTCTGTTGGGTCAGATGGGAGGAGGGGATTGCTCGATTACAAGGACAGGTTGTCCCCTTTTTATAGTTTCTGTATTTGTTTTTATAGTGAGTGTTGATTTTATCAGAAGATAGTTATTTCTGTTTTGAACATCGAGACTGATTTAATGGCAGGTGCTCGCTGGGCTTTCTGGATGAAAGCCCTCATTCCATCGAGATCGTGTATTTGGCCGAAATCATCCTTATTGATTGTTTATGTGGATTAAGGTTGGAAAGAATCTTGAATTACACTAGAGGTGGGACTATTTTGAGGGTGTTGGGGTTTGGTAAAATGTGGTATTGTAGCCTCCTTTTTGTTTTTTTTGGTTTTGTTTCAAAGCCATGTTTGGCTTCTTAGGAGCCATGGGACAATAAGTTGGACTCCTCTGAAACCTCAATGTCATGGAAGTTAATGAAGGGTGGACTGCTCTAGATTAAAGGATAAAGACATGACAGCTAAGAGCAAGCATGATCCTAAATGGCTCCTGGATCAAAGGAACAGCAGCTATAAAGGAGATTTAGCTGTGTGCAATAGCTCACACCTGTAAACCCAGCACTTTAGGAGGCCAAGGCAGAAGGATCACTTGAGGCCAGGAATTCAAAACCAACATAGCCAGACTCCCCTCTCTACAAAAAGTAGGAAAATTATCCAGGCATGGTGTTGTGTACCTAATAATCCCAGCTACTTGGGAGGTTGGGGTGGGAGGATTGCTTGGACTCAGGAGTTCAAGACAGCATTGAGCTATGATGACACCACTGCATTCCAGCCTGAGTGACAGCAAAAAAAAATAAAAAAAACATATTCAGAGTGTCAGGCTTGTGCATGTGGTATGTGACTGAGTATGAAGTATGTCAAATCCATGTGGTCTTCCTGGATATAGCCATGGTATGGGGTGTGGAGGAGAAGCCCTGGCTTTCCCAAGTGCTAATGTGTCGTGGGGTCTGCAGCTTTCTTTCAAGTGGTTCAGCAAAATAAAGTATCCATAAAGAGAAGGTGAATGTTGCAAAAAGTTAACACCTTTTTGCTTCAAATTTTTAAAAATTAAATTGGAAAAAGATCTCAAAGGGTGCAAGAGCTTTGAAATCTGACTTTTAAGTGCAGGTCTGGTGGCCGGGAGCAGTGGCTCACGCCTGTAATCCTAGCACTCTGGGAGGCCAAGGCAGGGAGATTGCTCAAGGTCAGGAGTTCTAAACCAGCCTGAGCAAGAGCGAGACCCTGTCTCTACTAAAAAAAAAAATAGAAATTAATTGTCCAACTAAAAAATACATATATATATATATATATATATATAAAAAATGAGCCGGGCATGGTGGCACATGCCTGTAGTCCCAGCTACTCAGGAGGCTGAGGCAAAAGGATTGCTTGAGCCCAGGAGTTTGAAGTTGCTGTGAGCTAGGCTGACACCACAGCACTCTAGCCTGGGCAACAGAGTGAGACTTTTGTCTCCAAAAAAAAGTAAGTGCAGATCTGGGGACTTCCACTGGGCAAGTCATCCAGCCTCAAGCTGAGGAGATAAGTGAATTTCTCTTTCCTGACCCATTTTCCTTTGCTTTACAAAGTTTCTAAACACAGGAATGGTATAACTTGCATTGGAGGGGAGAGAAAAAATATTTCTGTTAATCATGCAGAAAGCACTGCATCCTATTTTTTAGGTGCTGGGTGCCCCATCTTTTCGCATGTTGGCCTGGCATGTTCTCATGGGGAATCAGGTGATCTGGAAGAGCAGAGACGTGGACCTTGTCCAGTCAGCTTTTGAAGTTCTTCGGGTAAGAACATCTTTCCCTTATGTGTAGGTAGCGGGACAGTTCCTGGCCTAGAGTCTGACTGTAGGTGGGAATGTTCAGATGCTCAGCTGCTCAGTGCAGACCTTGTGAGCGGTTCATGCCTGAATCTGAGACCGTGGTTTTTTTCTCTGCTATTAAAAATGGCAGTTGTGGATGTTTTTTAGTTCCCATAGAAAGAGTCTATGTTATCCTGATAGATTGATAACTAACTACCCAACTAGTCCTCCCCAATCCCCAAGTCCCTCTAAGAAGCCATCTGAGTGGCTCACAGCTGCCACAGAAGCAGGTAAGGCACTATGCCTTCCTCTGCGGGGGTGTTCTTGACAAGGGGGTATGGGCAGGTGGGCGCGGCACGCTGTCTGCCTCCAGAGGTGCAGTGGACGACAAGGCCCAGATCTGGTCTCATGACGGTTAGATCGTCAGAAAACGTGCGCAAGCCTGCTGCCTGCCAGAGCCTGCGGGGGAACGAGAATGAATGTGAGGCAGAAACTTCTCTCCCTGTGGGTCAGGGAGAGGGACAGACATCTGAGAAGGCAGAGAATAAGAGTTCATACTGCAAAGCAAGAGGCAGCACAAGTCAGTGTAGGACTGACGGCCAAGACAAGAGTTGGGGCCTTGGTGTGGAAGACACCCCACAGCCTGAGGGGCCAGGGATGCCTCTGGAAGGAGGGAGGCTTTGGGCTGGGTGGCAGGAGTGTGTGGGTTTGGGTGACAGAGACAGGCCAGGCTATGTTGCTCTGTCCTCCCCAGACCATGCTGCCCGTGGGCTGTGTGCGCACCATCCCGTACAGCAGCCAGTACGAAGAGGCCTATCGGTGCAACTTCCTGGGGCTCAGCCCACACGTGCAGATCCCCGCCCACGTCCTGTCCTCAGGTGCGTGCCGCTGCAGGGTGCATGGACTCTTGGCAGAGAGTCCTGCACCTCAGGGCCCAGAGTGGAACCGGATCTTAGTCATGGGTTTGAGGATGTGGCCTGTGGCCTCCCAGGCAGGGGCCCCCATTGTAGGGCCAGCTTGCCCTGTGGCTGTCTTCGCAGGGCAGGGTTGGATGGGATAGCCTCATGGGGGCAGGCCACAGGTCACAGTCTGGGGGTAGGAGGGCACATGTCTACCAAGAACAGCACATGTGGCCACTAGGGTCTCATTTCCTGATCTCCTCCCCGGTCTTCTCCTCCTTCCCTGAGCCTGGGGTCTGCGCTGAGGCTCCTAGTGCTGCCAGGCTTGTGCCTCTGCCACAGAGAACAGGAAGCGGATCATCCCTTGCCTTTGGTTCATGGATGTCCACGAGTCAGCCTCACAGCAAGTTAGCGACTCCTGAGCACATATGTGAGGGGCAGGCAGGCGCTCAGCTGCCACCAGCAGACCCTGTTCAGCACCCAGGCTGGGTCATGAGGCCCTCGCTGAGAGCCAGTGCCTTTTTCCTGAGTAGGGTTAGAAACATAGGCTCTGGTTATATTACTAGCTGTGTGACCTTGGGCACTTAACTTCTCTGGTTCTGTCTCCCCATCTGTAAAATGGGGGTAATAGTGGGACCATCTTCATAGGGTTGCTTAGTGTGAAGTGAATTGATACATATTAAATAATTGATGATTACTATAATATAATAAGTTATTAACTTAATGGATGCACAAGTTAACCCTTGACTATTCACAAGTAAACTGCAAAAGCTTTTAAATACCAAAGCATTACTCTTAGGAGACCTTTTGCCTGGCGGTGTTTCCTTGTTGATGTGAAATGATCTGGAGGTGGAATTCAGTGGGCTTATTTAGGGTGAAATGAGAAGCACAGAATGGGATGGTGTGTCTTGTGTTGCCGCAGAATTTGCTGTCATCGTGGAGGTCCACGCAGCTGCCCGCTCCACCCTCCACCTAGCCGGGTGTGAGGACGAGCAGCCTCTGAGCAAGTACGAGTTCGTGGTCACCAGCGGGAGCCCTGTCGCCGGAGACCGAGGTGGGTGCCGCTGAGCATGGGTACTTTTTCCTCAGGAAGAGAGAGGGCATGGTGTCCCTGGCCCAGCTCTGACACCCTTGCTTTGCTTCTGCCCCTTTTCCTAGTTGGCCCCACTATCCTGAATAAGATCGAAGCGGCTCTGACCAACCAGAATCTGTCTGTAGATGTGGTGGACCAGTGCCTCGTCTGCCTCAAGGAGGAGTGGATGAAGTAAGCTCACAGCGTCAGCGTGAGGGGACTGCTTTGCTTTCTGACCATGGAGGGCCAAGCTAGCCACAGTGATGTGTTCTGCCGAGGAAAATCAGAAGCTATTTCCAAAAAGAGATTGCCTGTGGCCACTGACAGGCAGTTAGAGTAGAGGTTGAGACCGTGGGCTCCAGACAAGCTCTGCCAGTTATCAGCCTGGGTGAGCCTGAGGTGAGCAGTGTCTCCTGCCCAGGCACCTGCTCTGTGGGTAGGGGTGGCGCCCAGCTCTAAGAGCTGTCGAGGGGTAAAGGAGGACTCCAAATGCACAAAACAGGTTCATAACTAAAGCTCTGTTATTTTGCTGTTTAATTAACTTTTAAAATCTGAAAGCCCCATAACATGTGCTCCCTTTATTTTAAAGCAAGTTACTTTATTTCCTCCTACCTTGATTCTTGGTAATTTTTTGTCAAATTTAGCCAAACATCATCCTGATATTTTTTTTTTGAGTCAGAGTCTCTGTTGCTTGGACTAGATTGTCATGACGTCAGACTAGCTCGCAGCAACATCAAACTCCTAGGCTCAAGCGATCCTCCTGCCTCAGCCTCTTAAGTAGCTGGGACTACAGGCGTGCACCACCATGCCCTGCTAATTTATTCAGCTTTTAGTAGAGATGGGGTCTGTCTCTTGCTCAGGCTGGTCTCAAACTCCTGGGCTCAAGCAATCCTCCCATCTCGGCCTCCCAGAGTGCTGGGATTACAGGTGTGAGCCACTGTGCCTGGCCCCTGATTTCAAATAATATAGTGAAGCTTAAGAGCAACCAGTTTCTCCATGAATTTAAGGAAAGTTTTTCTTTCTTTCTTTTAATTGTTCTGGCTTGCCAGGCTTGTTCCCCAGGGTGAGAACTGACGGGCCAGTGAGAGGCCCGTGAGTGTGTGGTGCCAGCTGTCACTGTGTTTGATTCCAGCTTGGCCTGTGGAGCTCCCGCTAGTCCTGACGCCTTGTGGGCCACAACCAGGGCTCTCAGAGTTGTGCTCTGCTGTCTGAGTGTTTTGTCTTTGGTTTTCCACAGCAAAGTGAAGGTCCTTTTCAAATTCACCAAGGTGGACAGTCGGCCCAAAGAGGACACACAGAAGCTCCTGAGCATCCTTGGCGCATCTGAGGAAGACAACGTCAAGCTGCTGAAGTTCTGGATGACAGGCCTGAGCAAGACCTACAAGTCGCACCTCATGTCCACAGTCCGCAGCCCCACGGCCTCCGAGTCCCGGAACTGACACACCCGCCGTACGCGTCTTCTGGAAGTGGTGATGGCAGTCCACAGACTGTCCCCAGCTCCATGAGAGGAGGGGCTGTTCTTTGAGTTTCTGAGATGCTGGGATGGAGCAGTGTCCTTCCTAAGAATGGGGTTGGCTCTGCCCTCTGGGATCTGGAGCCAGTGCTGTTCTTAGCAGCCTCCCACAAGCTGTGGGAGTCGCCCCAGCTGAGGAAAGCAGTGGCGGGTGTAGGAACAACAGGATCCTTCTCTGTCTACGCTCCTGAGAGAAAAGTCTGTAAGGAGAACTGGCACCTCGGCCATCTCTCAGATTTAGATGTCAAAACCTATAGGAGAAACGGGCCAGTCCAGCGTGGGGATTTTAGCTGCAATAACATATCCTCTCTCCAGGTTAATATTCAGACTTCTCCCATTCTAAAATTAGCAAGAGTCTTTTGGGTTTTGTGTTTGAGTGCACGTTTTGCGACAATTGTGAATATTCAAGACAAATGCCAATCTTTAGTCATTTCTAGTCATCTGATTCCGAGTCAAGGCTCTAGAGGCATAAGGCTTCTGGGGGTGAAGTAGATCTTTTCCTCATCTTCAGGTCCTCTGAAATTCATGTTCTGAGGTCATGGGACTTGTCTTCTGAGGTGTCCCCTGCCATCACTGGTGACATTAACCCGTTGATCATTTTTATTCAACGATGATACTTTGCTGAAGTGTCAGATCAAGCTGTCTGAGCTTGATTCACCATCTATGGTGAGACCCGTAGTTTTATTCTATATCACTTTTGCTTTTATTGCTGCTTTCAACATTTACATTTGGCTGCAGTTAACAATTTTCAGAGTATGATGATTTCATATAATTTCATCATCTCACTATATATATATATATGTGTATATATATATATATTTTTTTTTTTAAAGAGATAGGCTCTTGCCATGTTGCCTAGGCTGGTGTTGAACTCTCAAACTCCAGGACTGAAGCAATCCTCCCCCTCAGTCTCCCAAGTATCTGGGACTGTATATGTGCACCACCACAGCCCCACCATACATTTTTTAATGAGGATTCATGGCTTGGAGGGATTTTCCAGCAGTTTTGCTGATTTGTTTATGTTTTTTGTGTTTGTCTAATTTATATTTGACATGAAGACTAAGTTTATATTAATATAACTAGGTATATGTATAATGCAAGAACATTGGAACACAATAAAGATATATTTTTATAAACTGTTAACTACATGGTTTTATTGGTTTAATACCTGATATCTACTTGTGCTCAGTCCCAGGAAATATTATGGTTAAAACAATGCTAGTGAGTGGCCAGTTCCCTGCAGTATGAACGTTTATGCTGCTTTATGCTGCTGTAGTGATCTTGGACGATCTCCTCAAAGTTAGTCTTTGGAGTTGATGGTGGAGAGAAGATAACATTTATTCCAAAGACATCTGCTGAGTGTCTGCAACCGTGTGCCTCACACTTTGTTCAAATTTAGGGAATGGCTCATCCCTTAATGATAATGTGTCTGCAAGAATTGTGGCTGGAAACACTCCTGGGGGACAGCGGCAAGTCCATAAAGCTGTTCAGACTTGCAGTTTGGTCCTCTCATTGGAGTGGAAGGGCAGCCCCCAGCCTGTGTGGGTCAGGGGAATTGGAGGAAAGAGTACCGCTCGCAGTCTTCCCGATCCTGGGTGGAGAGCCCTGTTTCTTTAGTGCGTGGTGTTCTCTGAGATCACAGTTCTCTGTGTTCAAAGCCTTTGCCAGGGGCCTGCCAGTCCAGTGGCTGAGTCCCCTAGTGAGTAGGGAGCTCTGCACTCATGCCACAGGCCCACGGGATCTGCATTTCCAGCGCCTGGTAAATCTCATTGACAGAATGGGCGAGCAGGGCCACATACTGACCGGGTTTTCTAGACAGCTGCAGGCTTTTCCCCTGAGATTGGCTCCTATCAGTCAAAGTGCAGAAAAGGGAAACCTAGGCAGACTGCTGTCTCTGTGAATGAATAGGGTTTTGTGATTTTGTAGCTTTTATGCCAAGTGGGAGAAATGGGGAACAATTCTGGATCTTGGGCCTTCCCTCTGTGCATGAAAGCAAGAGAGAGTTTCCTGTTAACTATGTTCAAGAGATTTCAAGAACAATCTGGAGGATTTGTTCAGATTATTGGGCAATTACACAAGCATCTTTCCCAACTTCTTAAATTAATTCTTAAGATTCTTTACCAGGGAGTAAATCTCAATTAGATACTTAGGCATGTCATGTCTCTTTAACATTTGCCAAATTTTTTCTTAATTTTTTACTTTGAAATGTAGACTTACAGAAAAATTACAAAGAGAATTCCTGCATCCTCTTCACACAGCTTCCCCTAATGTTAATAACAACACATACATAACCTTGGTACAGTTCTCAAAACCAGGAATGCCATGTTGGTTCTGTCGTATCAAATGCAGACTTTGTTGGAATCTCCCCCATTCTAACACCCCTTTCCTGCTCCAGGACGCACTGTACTGAATGGCCAGGTTTCTCTGTCTGCTCTGGTCTGATGGATCTTTGAGCTTTCCTGGTCTTCATGATTTTGAAACGCAGTGGTCAGGTATTTTGTAGAATGCCCCTCACTTTGAATGTGACTTATGTTTTCTCCCAACAGAATGAGATTATGCATTTTTGGCAGGAATCCCACAAAAATGATGCTGTGCTTTTCTCAGTGCAACATACCAGAGGGTACATGACACTGCTGGGTCTTACGATGATATTAACCTTGACCACATGGTTAAGGTCATGGGGTCTGCTGGGTTATTATACATTATAAAGACAATTTGTCACTTGATAATTAATACCTTGTGGGGCCAGGCTTTGAGACTATGCAGGTATCTTGTTCCTCCTCAAACTTTTGCCTACTAGTTTTAGTATCCTTAACACCCACCAAGCTTTGCAACAAGGAGGATATGCCTAGTTGAGGGTAGGTTGGAGAAAGCAGGACAGCTTGTCAGGGAGAAACAGAGTGGGGACTGTCCTCCAGTGTGTTCCCTGTAATAGGAGTTGGCTCTTCTGGGTGGAGCTTCTTGGTTATTCACATGATCAGCTTTGCTGCCTACACAGAATAAGTTTAACTCTCCTTTCCTGTTAGATCAAGGAAACAAGTAGGCAGAAATGAGTGGGTATACGGGGAGTGGATATTGTGCTTTGGAAATATTTAAATTCAAACCCTTCCCTGCTTTCCTAGCTGTCTGACTCTGAGCAAGTGACTTAACCTCTCTGAGATTTAGTTTTCTCATCTGTAAGACCAATTTTGCAGGCTTACTATGAAAATTAAAGGTGATAATGTTTGTGAAAACATAACAATATTTTCTCACTTCCCCCACGGAGAGCATCTAAATGGTAGCCAGTCAGGGGAAGGAGACAGATAGTATTAACTCCACAGATTGCCTCGGAGCAAAGCAGGTGGGCCAGGAATTATGTGCAGATGAACCATTACCTGTCAGGCGCATGGCTTTTCTCTGTTGGAAGTATAACTAGTGTGCTGGTGCACTGGTTAACTCAAGTTCAGTGGAAGTAGGGTTACTGGACACCTCAGCCTGGCTAGTTTGGGGATGAGATGCTAAAATTAATTCAGTTGCATATTCTCTGAATGTCATTTGGGTCGAGTTTGTAAGTAGTCTTAAGTCTTATAGATCCTTGCTGATTTTCTATATCATTCTAGCAATTAATGTATTAAAAATCTTGTAACAATAATGGTTGAATTGTCTATTCTTCCTTTCAATTCTGTCAGATTTTGCTTCTTGTGTTTTGGGGATCTGTTGTTAGGTATATATACATTTATAACTGGTACATCTTTCTAATAGATGGACCCTTTTATCATTATGAACTGTTCCTTTTTTGCTTCTAGTCATATTCCTTGTCCTAATGTCTATGTTATCAATCCGGCCAATCCAGTTCTCGCATAGCTGTTTGCATGCTCGGTCTTTTTCCACCCTCTTGCTTTCAACCTATTTGTTTTCTCTGAATCTGAAGTGTCTGTCATGTGGATAGCATGTCTACCTTGTCTTTTATTCTGTCTGATAATCTCTATTTTTTGATTTAGAGTTGTCTATCTGCATTTAATGTAATCATTGATATGGTTGGATTTATATCTGCCATTTTGCTATTTTCTAAGTCTCATCTTTTAAAAAATTTTTTATTGTGGTAATGTATATAATATAAACTTTACCATTTTAACTATTCTAATTGTATAATTCAGCAGCATTAATTATATTCATAAAGTATCTCATGTCTTTTTGTTCCTTTTTTATGCCTTCATTTTTGTTGAACAAATTTCCTCCTCCCTACTTTCTGCTAATTTTATATCTTATTACATCTATATGTGTTAACCCAACAACACAGTGTTTATTGAAATTATTTTATGTATTTTAAAGAAATTTCTTTTTTTTTGAGACAGAGTCTCACCTTGTTGCCCAGGCGTCAGCCTAGCTCACAGCAACCTCAAACTCCTGGGCTCAAGTGATCCTCCTGCCTTAGCCTCCCGAGTAGCTGGGACTACAGGCATGCGCCACCATGCCCGGCTGATATTTTCTATATATATTAGTTGGCCAATTAATTTCTTTCTATTTATAGTAGAGACGAGGTCTCGCTCTTGCTCAGGCTGGTTTTGAACTCCTGACCTTGAGCAATCCGCCCGCCTCGGCCTCCCAGAGTGCTAGGATTACAGGCGTGAGCCACCACTCTCAGCCTATTTTAAAGAAATTAAGAGATGAAAGGATAATGCACACATACACATTTTCTATATTTATCCATATAGTTAACATTTCCAGTTCTATCATTTTTTCCTGTGACTCTGATACATTTCCTTTTAACCTGAAGGAGTTTCTTTGGTATTTTTCATAGGGCAGGTCTGCTATCAACAAATTTTCTCTGTTTTTATCTGAGAATATTTTTATTTCACCTTCATTTTTTGAAGAATCATTTCACTGGATTTAGAATTCTTGGCCAGGTGCAGTGGCTCATATCTGTAATCTGAGCACTCTGGGAAGCCAAGGCAGGAGGATCACTTGGAGTGATCCAGGAGTTCAAGAACAGCCTGGGCAACATAGTGAGACCCAATCTCCATAAAAAGTAAAAAACATTAGCCAGGTGTGTGGTGCATGCCTGTAGCTCCTGATACTTGGGAGGTTGGAGCAGGAAGATCGCGTGAGCCCAGGAGTTCAAAGTTAGAGTGAGCTGTGATCGCATTCCCGCACTCACTGTACTCCAGCCTCGGCAACA